TCATTCCCTTAAAAATATCCATGATGAATATTTCATCAAAATTGTAATCATATTCCCTCTTTCTAAACATATACTTAATTAAATTAATAAAGGTTTCTTTTTCAACATTTGGTTCTATTTTTTTAATCTTTTATTCATTTTATGGTTTCATCTTTACATGAATATGTAGTAATCATCCTTATTAGAATTGGTTGTTGATGATGAAATTTTTTAATTCTTTATAGTCTTAATTAAACTGCAATTAGAATTAATAATAATATGGAAAATTTATTAGAATAGTTTTTATGTATATATTAAAATTTATATTGATTTATAAATTAACAATATTACTTTCTTCTTTTATGAGGATGACTATAACTTTGTTAAAAAAGTATCTAAATTATCAAATGTTAGTTCTTCTTAAAGTGATAGTTTAAATAAAAAGAGATTATATATAAAGAAACAAAATATCAATAACTCCTATAATTAAACCAATTTATACAATGATGGTGTTTCATAATATCTCAGTAATTATTATGATAAACATTAAATGAACTGAATAAATTAGAAAGATAACTAATCATATTAATAAATAAATTATTATTCATTTGCTATTTAATCTAAGTATTTATAATAGATAAATAAATTGGAAGATTTAAAATTGTAAAGAAATTCGAATAATTAATGATAAATAAATCAAAACCATTAATAATGAAAATATAACTATTGATATTTTCTCCCAAAAAAAAAATAGAATTAAACCGAAATCTAACTAACATAATACAAACTATATTAATAGTCTTCTTCCACTTGTTTAAATTAAGAATCTAAATTAATTATTGATATTAGAACTTCACTCTCTTTAGATTAATTTTACTCTTTTTAAAAAATACCTAAAATTAACATGAGCTGTTTGATAATAATTATAATAATAAGCAAGAGTATGAGAATTCTTATCATAATATAAGAAGTTACATATTTACATAAAAATTTTTTTGAAATCTAAAATTATTATTCCATGCGTTATCATTCTTAGGATTAATAGCTATAGATTTGTCATAACAATCAATTGCTTCTTAGTACTTGTTCAAATTATTTAATGCAGATCCTAATAATAATATTTAACAATTTATTACCCTTCCAATTCCATGTTATATCATCTTAAGGATTTATAGCTAAAGATTTGTCAAAGCAGTCAATTGCTTCTTTTACTTTACCCTAATTATATAATTCAACTCCTTAATTACAATAAAATTCATTATACCTTCTTTTTTTAATCTGTTAGATTCTTCTATATTCTATTCCTTCTTATGTTCACTCTCTTTATTTATTTCTAATAATTTGATATCCTTTTAATTTCCCTAACTAATTTAATCCCCAGTTAAAGTTACATCTGCTACAATATCCTTAATAGTATCTAATAAATTTTTTAATTATATTATTGTTTTTTCTATTATAATTAATTTATTGGATACTTGTTGAATTTTCTTTTTCTTTTGACTAAAATTTTTTGATTATGTTGATTTATGACTTAAAAGTCAAGTAATCTTTGTTTTGAAGTTGTTTTGTCATCTATTCTAATTTTTCGATATCTTGTTCCATAAACTTTTAAATTTATTCAAAACAATTCTAAACTTTTGATGAGATTTCTTTGAATTCTTTACACTATTGAATTTAAACCTTTATGAATTCATTTATAAATTAGTTCAGTTTAGCAAATCGAATACACTCATTCAAATGATCTGAATGAAGCTGAGTTAAGCATTCATAACAATATTGTGTTGCCTTTTAACAGTTCTGATTCAAGCAGAATCCAATTATTTCTTCGTTTTCATGTGTCAGGTATTGACACTTAAAGATATCCATTCAATAAAAATAATATTAATAATTAATTAAATGTCTTTAGACTTAAATATCATAAATTTATAATAGAAATAACCTATAATTCTATTATTTTTAGTTACATACTTGAACCTATCCTAATCAATTCTAAAAATATACATTAAGGAATAAATAATTGAATTGAGTCATTTTATTAAATTTAATTATGACTAGATAATTTAGGTTTAATTCTCTAGTAAATGGAACCCTAATCTAGTATACTATTCTAGTTGATGATTATTACTTATTGGTTGAATTTCTAAGTTAAAAAACTTTCGACAACCTCCTCATAAAAGGAATTTTACATTCGATGAAATCTTACAGAATCAAGTTAAATCACCTGTTATAGAGAGAATATAATTTGAAAGGTTACATGGACATAAAATAATGATTAGATAATGAAAGAATAGAGAAATATATGAAATTAATAAATATTTTTTATGGTTTTGAATTGTGTATGGCCTAATATAAACAAAATAAATATTCAAATTATGTGTGGTTTGTTAGGTCTGAATTTTCGAGACAATATTATTGGAAATTTGGGTATAACTTGATTTATTCTATTTTGTACTTCTTAACAAAGTGGTAAATATAGAATTGTGTCAAGTGCTAATGGAAAATATCTATTTTTAAGAG